AAAAAAAAAAAAAAGATGAGAGTGAAAATGGTAGCTCCAAATCTCCTTTGGTTGCTACAAAAATTGCGTAAGAAGCATTTAGCCTGATAATGGGATCAGCGTTAAACCCTTAAAAAATAAAGATAGCTATTCATTAAATTAAAACAATTCGTTACTAGTCACTAAAACACAGAACTACTGAATTTGGGTATGCTAAGGCAATATCATTAAGTTAATTTTATCAGCTGGTAAAGGGTTGACTGATAGATAGCCTAAGTCAAGTGTATGGTGCTTCAGTATGTTCTGGGCTCTTCAGTAACCCTCCAGACCCTGAGTAAAACTGGAGAAGGGCAGTGATTGATAAAGTCTCTGTTAGCTGAGACACGAGTGTGGTTCCTGTATGTTCAGATTACTGTGAACATGGCCCCTACTTTCCCAGTGCATTCTCAGTCCTTTCTTTGCCATGAATTGCTTTACTCCTATCCTATGCTTTTTTTTTAACACCTGATTGCCTCAAACTTTCGCATTCTTGCTACCACCAGGCTATCTATGCTATGTTCTCTTCATCATATACACCCAGATCCTCACCTACCTCCAATTTCTTCTCCTTGGCTTCTTTCCCACCTCTATCTCATCTTTGTTTACATGGTTTCTAGTGAGCAAGAATCTCTCATCAGAGGAGAGGAAAAAGGCGAGGAATGACTCACCAAGTTTTAAACACCTATGATGTTTTTATTTTTTAAACACTGATGGAGTTTGGTTTCAAAAAGTATAATATATGGTCATTAGAGCCATTGAGAACAATTTCAGGTCAGCTAGCTCTTCATTTAGAGAAAAGTGGAAATCTAAAGGAGAAAAGGACTTTTTCTCCCTTCTGCCCATAGTGAATTGAAATGTGGTTTCCAACAAACTCATCAATTGTGTGTGTGTATGTGTGTGTGTGTGTGTGTGTGTGTGTGTGTGTGTGTTTATCCTAGGATTTGAACTCAAGGGCTGGGTGCTGTCTCTGAGCTTTTTTGTTCAAGGCTAGTATTCTACCACTAGAGCCACACCTCTACTTTCAGCTTTTTTGGTGATAACTGAAGGTAAGTGTCTCAGACTTTCTTGCCTGGGTTAGGTTTGAACCATGATCTTCAGATCTCAGCCTCCTGAGTAGCTAGAATTACAGACGTGAGCCACTGATGCCTTGCTACGTGAATTCTATCTTAATAGGTACTATTCAAAGAAAAATATTCCCATAGTCATAAGCACCAGACACATAGTAAGTGCTTTAACAATGCTTGTATTTTTTTCTCTTATTTCTGTTGTATCAATCAGAACACAGAATAGCTTTCTGTCCAAACTTATTTTTGGACTGTGTTATTGGTTCTGTGGGTTAACCATTTTTGTGTTCTTGAAATCCAGTTGTTTCCTACTGATCAGCTTAATAAAATGTTCCACTTCTTTTTTAGAAAGGTTGGGGTATGAATGCCTGTTTTGGAAACCTGGAAGGGTCACCTTTATAAATATTTTTGTGTTTTATGGGCTTTTTTAAGATAGTGTCACCAGAGACCATTTGTGTGATGTGGAATTTTCATAGGAGTTGGCACACATTGCCATATGGTTTCTACCCCTGACATTCCTCTAGTGTGCCTGGCCAGGTCATCAGGGATTCCTAAAGGGCCAGGTCCCATGCATTCTTTTGTGTGGCAGGTGACAATGTGACTGCTTCTCAAAACTCCCTACTCTTCTGGCTTCCCTGTCATCTATCTGTGGATTGAAAGCTCTGTGTCCAGCTGGGAGCTTCTGAGGTTATAAAGACAAGTGAGAGGTGGCTGCCACCCTCAGGGAATTTAGGTAATAATGGAGACATATACACATAGTGGGTGCTGTAGGAGAGGCTTTCAGCACTGTGTCAGAGCTTACTTAATATTAATCTTCAGGGTGTCTGGGGAATGGAAAGCAAAAGCCATACTGGATCTCCTGGGGGAAGCCATTGGGACATTTATGATGTCTTATGATTCTCTTACTTCTGATATACCCTGTGTATCACTTTGTAACTGACTGAACATGGGAAATTAGAGGAAAGGGAATTGATTCTCAAACTCACATGCATTTGCTCACTGAATCGGTAAGGACAAGGAATGTAGCTGCAGTATCCACAAATCTCAGCACCATACAGTTTTTCATATCACAGTCCTAAGTATAGTAGGGCCCTTACTCCATAGCTTCATTCAGGACCCCAGGACTCTGCCATCTAGTGACGCCTGGGCTTTGGGAGTCCTTTTAGCTCCTACAATGCATTCTCTGCAAAAAAAAACAAAAAAAGAGGGGCTGGGAATGTGGGTTAGTAGTGCTTGCCTAGCATGCATGAAGCCCTGGGCTCAATTCCTCAGTACCACATAAACAGAAAAAGCTGGAAGTGGCGCTGTGGCTCAAGTGGTAGAGTGCTAGCCTTGAGCAAAAGAAGCTCAGGGACAGTGCCTAGACCCTGAGTTCAAGCCCCAGGACTGGTAAGAGAGGGGGGAGAGGGAGGGAAAGCTCGAGAGAGCACGAGCACTAGCCCAAGACTGGAAAAAGAGAGGGGGGGAGAATAGGGGAATGAGAGAGAGAGAGAGAGAGAGAGAGAGAGAGAGAGAGAATATGAGCATGGAGGACTATGTAGAAAGTTGTACAGGTCAAACCTGAAGTACTGTGAGTTGTTTTTTGTCCATTTAGTCACATGACCCACCACCTAATTGTAAAGGAGGCTGACAAAAGTGGTTGAGTTATGGATTCAAGAGGAAAGACATGGGATTTGTCACCAAATCCTTTTAATTCTGTGTTCCAAAACTTTCCCTCTATTTTCCCTATGACGTTACCTCTGGTGCTCCAGTTGGAATTCTCTTGATCTCTCTTTCTCTTCCTAACTAGTAAGAATTTCCTCACCTTCTGCTTCCAGACTACTCTTTCCACAGGCAACTATCAACAGTACCAGAGGAATCTTGCTAGAATATAAATATGAACACATCACGGTCTTCCTTAAAAAGCCATGGTGGTTCAATAGCTCCTTCTCCACTCCTTGGATCTGTCATCTTGTATCATACTTGTGACAGGAGACCTGGCCTTGTCTTCTGCTACTTCCTATTGTAAATTCTTCGCTCTGCTGGTACCAAATATGTCTCCATTCCACATATGCAAACTGTGGGCTCACCCTTCTTTGCCCTTACATACCTTATACCCCTGTCTAAAATTCTCATCTTCCCTCAGTCCCTTTGCGGAATGAATACCTGGCATCTCTTAGGATTTACCATCCCTGTGCAGGTGTGAATGTCTTGGCATGTTAAATTGTTCTGCGTTCAGCTAGGCCATCATGTATTCATTCTTGTACTGTTCATTGTTCTGGCAGGGAGGAGAGACTAAAGAGAGTTCAAGGAATGGGCTGTTTACAAATGTTTTGGTAGCTGGAAGAGAAAGATGGGAGCTCACAGTTCCCAAGCTCACAGCAGCAGGAGTTGTCATCACCTTTGTCCATTTTACATTGCTCTGACTGAGTCTAGGATGGGTGGTATCACAATGGTGAATATGTGTGGTTAATAGGTCCAATCGTGAGATAGGAAGCAAGAGACTGAGGAAAAAGGGTCATTCTTTTTTTTTTTTTATAACAACCTGCCCTCAGAAACAAATTCACCCTGCCAGATTTGATGCCCTCCTGCTAAGTAGCATTAATCCATTCATGAAAGTAGGATCCCAATCACCTGGTACCTTCCTTAGGCTCCACTCATCATGTCAACATTACCATGCTGAGAAACAGATTTCTAGCACAAATCCCATGGGGGGTTGCACTCAAACCACTGGCTTGCAGAAGCAGGAGGAAAAGGCTAGCAAAAGAGTGAGGGCAGAGCTATAGCTGTGACCTTTGGGAAAGGCATAGAGTCAGCTACCCAGCTGTGGCCTGGCTGGGAGGGAACAGATGCACTGACCTCTTTTATCACTCATTCTCTGATCACCTACTCCCATCACCCAATTGGTCAAAATGAACTGAAAACTAGAGGGCAAAGAACCCATCAATGCTGACCTTCAGATCAGTACAGAGCAAGTGGGGAGGGGGAGAGAGTGGATCTGAATGGACAAATGAGAAATATTCAGCAGAGCTGTTTATATCTCTAATATGGCACCTAACACATAATTAAAATGATTTATGTACATATTTTCCTGCCAGATGACAAGTCCCTTGGATGCACATTTTTTATTCTTCTTAGTCACTGATAACTAACATAACCTTTAAAAGATGCTTAAAAAACTATGATCCTGTCGTGGTCTATTTGGGCTGTTATAGACTTGGGAACATGTACACAAGAGAAATTTATTTCTTGCTATTCTGGAGATCAGGAAGTCTAAGACTAAGGTCAGCAGATTTGATCTCTGCTGAGAACCCACTTTCTGGTTCATAAACAACATCTCCTCATTGTTTCCTCACCTGGAAGACGGGATGCCACATATGAAGGTAGACCCCTTATGACCTAATCACCTCCAGAAGTTCCTACCTCCTTCTGATATCACCTTAGAGGCTAAGATTTCAGTATCTGAATTTGGGAAGCAGGTCCCTTTTGTAAAGTTTATGTGAAATACTAAACTGCATTGTTACAATCTTTTTATCTTTCACTGCTAAAGAGCCAGTTCCTAGAGCTGTCTTAGCACATAAAGATTGTAATCATCTTCTGTCATTTCTCACTTAGCCCAACAGGCAGGACTCGTGAAATCGTGATGCCTTCTAGAAACTACACGCCATACACGAGAGTCCTGGAACTAACCATGAAGAAAACCCTCACTTAAGGCATTCGAATCCATGCACTTCAGAGGCAAAAAGGGCCTGGAGTCAAGAAAGGGTGACTGTTACGTCCTCATGAACAAGAAGCCAGAATGGAAACTGCTGTAGCTCCGCTCTGCTTCTAAGACAGGAAGGAGAGTGAAGATGGAGGAGGGGACAGGCAAGGGCAGGTGTAAGGGTCACAGCACCCTGTTGTGTGCTGCATTATCATTTGCTTTTCATGTAGACACTGAAATCCTTACAGTATTTCACCATTTGTTTTTGTTTTTCTATTTTGCTACTTTGGTTGGGAGTGAAAAGGGCATTGATTTGAAATTTCATATTATTCACAGCAGCATTTGTTAGAGCATGAAGGTTTGTTTACCCATGAAAGTATTAGAAACAGTGTTTCTCTGGTGCAGCAAGGCTGTCAATGAGAAGTGTGGGCACCTGGAAAAACTTGAACCCAGAGGGGAGAATTCCCAGAATGCACAGCTCTCTCTCTTTGGCCCCGAGGAATTGTGCTGGGCTGTAAAAGCCACAATTAGTCAGTGTAGCACAGACCAGCTTCATCCTGATATGCTAATCCCTTGCTTTAATTTGTGCCTTATGTCTTTATCGGACCTGAAATCACTATATTTATTCAACTTTTGATTTTTTGTTTTCGTTCACACTTTAACTTAAAGAGAATTTTGTATGTTGTGGAAATTTAATCATTTAATGTTTTGTATCAATTGATATTTTTGTTAAAGGAATGAGTAATCTATTCATGCATGCTCTAGTTTGTTAGTATAACCTGTATTGCCTTTGTTATTACAACCTGTTTAATAAATACCATATATTTTGTTCTACTAATGTTGTATCTGTGTAGAACTGCATGTAAAAGGAGACTGCCAGCCTGTAGAATAAGTGCCAACGTCAGATTATGTTGGTCCTACAGTCACTGTGATCCACAGAAGCATAGCTGTGTGTGTGTGTGTGTGTGTGTGTGTGTGTGTGTGTGTGTGTCATTCCTGAAATGTATTTAGTTGGTGCACCTTCTGAAAAGAGTGAAATACATTCATGATCACAAAATACAAAATAGTTCTTAAAAATCTCCCATCCCTTTTTTCCCCACCCCCTTTCTTATTTTCCTCATTTTGGAAGAAAAAATTTAAGGCAAACAAAGCAATTTAGTTGAACAAAATACTACAAACTGGGATAATCTAGAGAAAGCCAAGCTTCAGAAACAAATATGTATTTCAACTCTGGCTACAGCACCTTGGGTGAGTCACCAAAGCTCTGTGAGTATAGTTCCTCTAACAACCTGGGTTCCACATGTACTTGTACAGCAGAGCTGACATGCGGATGGGATGGGGATGGGCCCTCCGGTCAGCAAATGCTATCCTCCTGGAGGTTTGTTTAAAAGCATTATTGGCTCACATGTAGCCTTCTGTGGTACAGATGTTCTAACAACGAGAAACTGTGCCCTGTGGAAATCATCAAGGAGAAGCATCTCAGGAAAAGGCTGTCTTCAGGACCCAGGGGTTGGGGAAGGTGGACTCAGAGAGGGACAGAAGATCCTGGGACCCCCAGGTCTCTAAAAACTCTGGTCTGAAAGTAGTGATTTAATGTCAGTTTTAACGAAACTAAGAAGTAAAAACCATTCTGTAACCATTTCTATATTCTCTTCTTTCTCTCTCTCTTAAAACAAGCTAGAAAAAGAAGAACTTAGAGATTTTAAATTTAAAGAATATCAGAGGTCATTCTACTACTGGGGCTTTTGCATTTAAAAGTACATCTTGAGTAAAAGGAGAATTCCTTATGTCACTTAACTATCCAGAAGACTATTAAAGAGAGTTTCTACAGTGTACAGACTGAGAGAATTGTACAGAGAATCCTTCTAGATAGACTGTCAAAATTACCTCTAGTGAAAAGAGTGCCATCCAGGAACCTGTTCATGAGCATGAGTATTATGTAGAACTGGATGAACTCTAATATTGTATAATCAATTTATCTCACTGAAATAAAGGATGGCTGTATATATGGGGGGATTTTTTAAAACTATAAAAATGGCATCTTGCAAGAAGGTTTCCGATTAAAATTTTCATTCCAGCCCTTCCTGGCTTTCTTAAAAATATTCATACACACAGATGTCACTTGTTTCATTTTAAAAATACAAGCCTCTATGGAGAAGCAGAATCATGGGGGTTTTTTAGAATGTCAGCTTCCCAAGCTTGGTCATGAGTATGGGCACGTGGAAGTCACCGAATCAGCCTATGACCCTGGACCATGGGAGCATGGTCAGTTTCTTCCTGGTGGGACGGATGTGAAAATGAGTGAGTTAACCCTTCAAGTAAGAATATTGCTTGTGACCCAGTGAACACTCAGAAAATGCTGCCTGTCACCAGAACATACCTCCACAACGACGTTTTGCTTATCAATTTTCTTGGACTGCCTCACAGATGTTAGGCAGGTGCTCTACCACTTGAGCCACACGAATGGTGATGTTCCCAATCTCAGCCTAAGTAGTTAGGATGATAGGAATGAGTCATTGTACCTGAATTATAATCATTTTTATACACATGCGCACAAATAGATAATATACACCAATATTTCTTATAGTTAATTGGCTTCCATTGCATTGATATACCATGATTTAATAGTGCTATCCCCTAATGAAATCCCTTAATGGTATTTTGGAAATTACTTTTACTGTTTTTAAAGCAATCCTCTGGTGAACCATCTTGTGCTCACGTCTTTGCACATTTTCCTAATCATTTTCTCAAGACACATGCTAGAAGAGAAAATGGTCAGGCCAAATGTAATGCAAGGCTTAGGTGCATTTGCTCCAATCTGTCCCCTGGAAATCTGTGTCCACTGAAACTCACCAACAGGATGAGAATGTGAGTTCCTGACTCTTTTGTCAAAATTAGGGACATATATAGAGATATATTTACATATATCTCTATATATGTATCTTTAATGGAGTATATAAAAAAACCTGTCCCCCTAAAAAGCAGTGAAATATGGTCCTTTGGGATATTTGGTTTGGATACCTGAGCTCAAGAATATGCGCGTGTGAGTTGTTCGTTAGAGGTGTCTCTAGGGCCAAGAGAATGCCTAGGCAACTGACAGGAAACAGAATCGAAGGAGTAGGAGTCTCCCAGAACCTGAAACTAAAGAGTCTGTTGCACAGTTAGCCACAATCAGAGCCGGTCAGGGAGAAAGAAAAGACTCAGGCCACGTCTCCAAGGGCAAATTTTTGTGATAGCCTTGGAGAAAGGACCAATGTATGGGAAGTCAGACTTACTCATTTATAACAATCTGCTCTTCCAGGAGCTAACCAGCATACCCAAGCGCAGTTATATATCTCTTTTAGTGACAGTACCCTCAGTCTCCTAACCACTTTCCACTTCACATCACCTCTCCACATCACATATTAGGGGTGAAACATCTGACCCATAAACTTTTTTTTTGGGGGGGGAGGAGACAAACTACATGTAAGCCATAGCAGAAGAGAACTGGATGAACAGAGGGCTAAAGTGTATCTTCTTTTCTTCATATACAAATGTAAGAATAACTCACTGGGCTTTATCATGGAAGGCATGGCCCAAAAGGAAGAATGAAGATGAGTTTCCAGAAAGACCAGGCAAAGACACCAGAGGGAGACTGCTACTACAATTTGGCTACTAGAATTTGAATGCTACTAGGATTTGATAACTAATCCATGGTACAAAGCACCCATCCCTTCCTTTCCTTTCCCTCCTTCTCCTCTCTCCTCTCTTTTCCTTTTTTTTCTTTTTTTTGCTTGTGGATATCCGATGATTTAAGCACCAATTGTTGAAAGGAGTACTCATTTCCTGCTAAATTGCCCTTGCACTATTGTTAAAAATCAATCGACTAGAGACACATCTAGTTCTATACTCTCCACTCTTATATTGATCTCGTTGCCCAATAAACACTGTCTCAATGGCGGCAGCTTAATCACAGGGTCCCAAAGTCAGGTAATACAGGCTCTCCACTTAGGTTTCCACAGGGAATTGTTTTGCCTATTGTAGGCCCTCTGCATTTCCATACGGATTGTATACCCTGTTGATTTCTGCAAAAGCTCAGTTGATATTCTGGTTGGGATCACTCTGAATAGACATGGCGAAAGAGAGCACCCAGAGCTCTCCTCTCTGTGAGTGCTAGAGACACTGTGGTCTAGCTCGGAGCACAGGGTCAGCCACTGGGTGTCAGGGGCCTCTTTTTTCTTCCTCAGTTTGAACGGCACTGGGTTAAAAAACCTCCACAGAATGTATTTTGATAATGGTATAGTATAATCTTTGTGGAATTCTGAAGAAAATATTATAAGAAACATTCATATGTGCCCAAGGGCCATAAAACTGATGTAATTTGAATGCAATAAAATATAAACAAATGGCAAACAGTTCTTGAGGGTTTTTCTCTTAATTTTTCAACACATACTTTAGGGTTTTAACATACAGCGTTTACAGCATTCACCTTCCTGAATGAGGGGTGGGAGGGAGGTTGAGAAATAATTAGTAGGCAATTTTTTGGCCCTGGGACTTTACTTGTAAATGTTTTCTTTGGCAGCCATACTCTTGAGAACAGGAAGTTACTCTCTTGTTACAGATTTAAGACTTTTCTGAGCCAAATAACAGAAAGCTGGATTAGTTCTGAAATGAAAGGGGGGGGGCGGGGAACCAACTCAAGGCTCTTGCTAGAGATTAATGACATCTTGCAAATATTTTAATTCTCCTCTTTCCTCTTAACTTGCCACCTCCTAAACAAAACACATTCAAACTGAAAACAACTTCACTGGTTCCTTTGTAGCCCAACCCTAAAATAAAATACCTTTATTTAAATATTTCTGGGGGCCAGGGGGGAAGGAAATGAGGTCTGTTTCAAGTTGACCTCTTTGGTTACAAAAATCCTCAGAATGAAATTTGAAATAAAGATATTAATATTTCCACAGTGATCATAAAGATTCATAATTTTCTTTGACCTCTTGAAATGGCTTTTGTCATAGATAAGAGTGTTTAGGCAAACTCTGTAAACAATACCTACTTGCTAAGGGAGCTAGTTGCAAATGTTTCTTTAGAACTTGTTCAAAATGGCAGTATTCTAAAAATTGGACCAGAGTTGTTCTCAGTCTCCCTTAGAGAACAAGGGAACTGGTTCTCCCCTTCTGCCCCATCCCACCAAAATCTTGTCTCTACTTATATAGATAGGCCTGGCAGGATTAACAAAAAAAAAAAAAAAAAAGGAATTCAAACTCCATTTTTGCATTTGATCTACCAGCTTGTAATCTGAAAGAACATTGATTTTATGAATTATTTTAAGTACCATTTGTGAAGATTCCTTTTTTTTTTTTTTGGTCAGCTCTTCAGCTCAAGGCTAGAGCTCTACCACTTGAGCCATAGGGCCACTTCCAGTTTTCTGGTGGTTTACTGGAGATAAAAATCTCACGGAGTTTCCTGCCCAGGCTGGCTTTGAATGTCGATCCTCAGATCTCAGCCTCCTGAGTAGCTAGGATTACAGGTGTGAGCCACAGGCGCCCGGCTGAAGATTCTTAAAACAGAAAACCTTAGAACAATTGGAGATTGAGAAACAGAGATCATTTTCCTATTATGAGTGTAAATCTTACAGGGGTGATTTGGAAGATTCCATGGTATTAAGATAACTAAAAAGAAAAAAAAAGAGCTTGTACTCTTTAGCACTTGCCCAGAATGCCCAAACTCAACTACTGTAGAACATAGGAACCCTGGGCACAGGTGGAAAGGGTGGGACAATGGGGATGAATGGCAGGTAGTAGTGGCGGGGTGCCCCTGTGTACTATAAGTACATGTCCACTTTAAGTCACTCAGCTTCATAATTTTGAAAAGCACTATGCTGCCAAACAAATCCATTTGCAGGCTGACTGGCTAAAGATCCATAACTTACATCATTTGGCTGACATTAGCTAATGTTTTTCTTTCTGTGTGTTATCAAGAAAATACTCCTTCAAACTACCTTTTTCTTCAGTGTGCTTGGTATGCCTTCCACATCATCTATTAGTTTGCTTGTCTTCTGCTATTTTGACCTTAGATACTTTTTTTTAAAACCTTATAAACAATCTGAAAGAACTCAGACCTGTCATCCCTTAGATATAAAAATTAAATTAAGCCCAAGAATCCTAGGTGATGGAGAACACTGTCCAGTCCTGGAAGATAGGGGCAGCTCAGGGAGTACCCCAAAGGTTGATAAATCTGAAACCTTGCCAGTGTTGGGTGAGCATTTATTTAAAGAGAGCTACCTGCTTTCTGGTTTTACTACATACCAAATATTTCTTCTCAACATTTATGAGCTTAAATAGATGCAGATGTTGCCAGAGAATGTATTATAACATTAATCATCTTGGGATCGTATAATTTAAGTGTTGAAAGGCCTCTTGGAGCTTGTCTCCTTCAACACCCTCATTTTAAGCTAGAGGAAACTGAGGCCAACAATTAATTGACTTGCTACAAAGTTAGTGGTCCATGAACCCTCTTCCTTAAAAACATTAATTTGGCATTGACTAATTTTACCACCACTGCCTTCATCCTCTCACATGGATTGCCTTTATCATCCTATAGACATAAATCAAGGTGACCAGACCTAACTCTGGCCAGGTCTAGTTCGTTTTCTCCTACTCTAACTTGTGGCAAATCACCACTTTCCTACTCTGTGCCTCTGATGTGTGTTCATGCTGTAATTCAGACTTGCTTCAATTTGTGGGAAGGGGATAGCTCCCTTCCCAGTGACATTTGGAAGAAGATGAAATTTTTATCTATTTTTTTTGTCGGTTATGGGGCTTGAAGTCTGGGCCTGGGCATTGTCCCTCAGCTCTTCAGCTCAAGGCCAATGCTCTACCACTTGAGCCACGGCACCACTCCCAGTTCTCTGGTGGTTTAATGGAGATAAGAATCTCATGGCCTTTCCTGCCCCTGCTCGCTTTTAACCCAGATCCTCAGGCCTCAGACTCCTGAGTAGCTAGGATTACAGGTGTGAGCCGGCGGCGCCTGGCAGAAAATGAATTTTGAAAAGTTATTCTATACAGACTTTGAAAATTTCCTCCCTCATTCCTTTTTTCTTTCTTTTTTTGGTCATCAAGATAGATTTAAATCATCCTTTCTCTGGCACACAAAAAATCATATCTTAATAATTTTTGTAACCAGACTTATGATATATAATATACTAGATGCTTTACAGAAAAAGATATGATGGGGCCCTCTAAGAACAGGATGCTTTGTCCTCCAGCAAACACTTTGAACTAATTCTAAGCCATTTAGTTTTGATATCCTCCCTCTTCTCTTTTTGCCTACCCTGTTCTCTGAATCCTGGATAAAAGATCTTCTCAAGTTTTCCTATTACTCTGATCCCACAGCTATATTTCCTCTGACTTATCCTGAGATTGTTCAAAATGCCGTCATATTCTTCCGTTCCCTAGTCTAAGATTTGACTCTTTGAATGTAGGTTATTACTTCAGCTGAGCTTTTATGAGAAAAACATTTGGATCTAATTCCTGGTCACATGTAAATGACTGACAGAGCAGAGCCTTTACAGAAGTATCTATGGTAAACCTCCCCCTCCCCACCAAAAAACAATCTGTGAATTAACCAAATGATGTTTTCAATGGTGGAATTTCAACCAGTGTGTCAAAGGAAAGTAAAAGTCAAGAGGAGGAGAAACTATTTTAAATCTTGTTTTAGACTTTATATTCTAAAAGTGTGTGTATGTGTGTGTGGGGGGGGGGGGGGTTAGCTCCCATGTCTATACAGTCTGAACTGAAGAATAGTACTCTAAAGGCTAGTACTCTTAAGTAGTTCTTTTCCAAGGACATTTTTATCTCTGGTTAATGAACTTATTCATATTAAAAACATCATGATTTATTACTCAATCACCACTGATCATATATTTAATCAGGAATCTTGAGTAAATTTGCTAACTAAAAAACAAAATGATACCATACGTTTGATGATTTTCTCCCTTCCCCCATTCTCTCTTCCCACACAATGATGGTCATAAAACACAGTGGTGGTCTGAAATGGGAGACATGTCACTAAACAAGCTCAACCATGTGAAAGTTTGGAGAGAGAGAGAGTGAGTTCCAGTCCTCCAACTAAAACCTTATTGGGCTGAGGTTTGCTCACCAGAGACTTTGTGTTTTTCCCCCCATAGGCAATTGCCCCTTTGATTAATCCCATTTCCCTCAGCCCTGGTGAGTCCCCCACCCCCGCAGCTGAGCAAACAGAGAGGCAGTGGCCATTTTAATGTGCTTCCTCCCTCCAACCCTCTGAGAAGAGCAGTCTGTTCATCTTGTTCATAAACCACAGAACTGAATGGTCTTGGAGAGAGTGAGGATCTTCTGTCGGGATTAATTTTAATAGGCCACAGTCTGCCACCCGGGAACCATAGCCTTGGTAAATGGCTTTAAATTACTATTTGCTGATAAAAAGGGAGATAGGAGCTGAAAATTTGGTTCCACATTTCAAACAATTTGGATAACTAAGGCAAGAATTTACTTTTAGTGTGGAGTGCATGCACTTTACAACCTAAACCCTTGGGTAGCAGAGGAAAACTTTTTGCTGTTGTGGGATCAACATAAAATAGAAAGGTGGAATGCGACATTTTGTAGAAGTTTTAGTATTTTAAAGCTGGAAGGGAAATGAAGAATCTGTCTATGAATTCCTAAGGATTTGTGAAAGCTGTGTGATTCTGATTTCTGTACATGGCAGGCAAGTGTTCTACAGCACTAAACCATACCTTCAGACCTTTATATATTTGATTCTGAGATAGGTTCTGATTTGCCCAGGATGGCCTCAAACATGATCATCTTCAGTCAGTCTCTCTAATATAGTTGTATTACAGTCATGTGCCACCATGCCCAGCTCAATACTCTATTTTTTGCTAGAGTGTTAAAAAGTAAAAAGCGAAGCCAGGCATTGGTGGTTTACACCTGTAATTCTAGCTACTAAGGAGGCTGAGATTTGAGGATTGCTGTTCAAAGCCAGCACAAGCAGGAAAAGTCCATATCAACAATTAACCATCAGAAAAGTGAAAGCAGAGCTGTGGCTCAAAGTAGTTGAGTACTAACCTTGAGTGAAAGAGCTCAGGGACAAGGTCCAGGCCCTGAGATCAAGTCCCACAACCAATAGC